CTTTTCCCAGTCAATCCAATTCTGGTAATGTTCTGATGGAAATTCACCATTTTTGCACTCAGTCTGCTGGGGCAGCACTTGGCAGGGGGATGGACGTGCAGGCACCCTTTCTGATGGTGGTATGCAAGGATAAAGCAGTGACTTCCTAGCCTACACTGATCACAGAAAATGTGGGCCTAAAGACTACTGATAATGTAAATACACACATGGAGACATGGCATTGCTAAATTTAGGAGATGATAAAACCTTTCATCAGAACCAGAAAAACTAAGCTCTCTTGTTCCTGCTTCTCATTAAAAGCATTTTTTTACCTTTAACTGGAAATTTATGAAGGGCATCCAAAAAAAGAAGAGAAAAATACAAGTAAAAATTGTAATCAGAAGTAGACAGAAAAGCCATCAATTTGAAATCCCTAACTGCTATGCTTTTTGCAGGAAAACTACATCAATATGCATGTAAACTGGCACAGGAAGACAAAGGTGAATGTCCTTGGAGATATTTTGTAGTTTTGTGGCAATTTCCACTTAATACCAATTGTATCAACACAGCCAGGGTTGCTGCTGTTGAGATCTTTTGTTGGACCCTGTGATATCTGCCTGGCCAGAGCTTAACCCACAGGGATCCCAGCCATAAAAATGTTCTGGCCGATGTGTATCTATCAGTCCCAGATTGAAATCGATGGGCCTACACATCAGAGTAAAGTTCAACAGGTGTGCATCATGTTTGCAGGATCGTATACTATTACAATACATTGGAAAAAATATACATCATTTCAGTGTTGCTTTCAGTCCAAACCAGCAGTTGGAAGACAAATTCATTATTTAGTTCCTCGTTAATTTAGTTCCCAGCCATGTCAAATTGTAATCACGCTTATTTACAGCTGTATGAGCATCATATGACCAAAAAAATAAATTTGTCACATCTCTTTTGCAAAATCAGCTGTGCCAGGCACAGGCTGGCACCCCAGGGCCACCACTGCCACCCCATAATTACTCCAGGTGTTTTAGGGCAGAATGTGATTAAATTGGCACAGAGATTAAATGTGGTGGAAGTGGTCAGTGAGCCTCAAAAGCTGTGTCTGTACTCCCATATCTCACCATCAATTCACCTGTTTTTGAGGAAAAAAACCCTTTTTTTTTCTGTGCGTTTTTGGTGCGAAGCCTTTCAAATGTAAGCCAGTTTCTATTGTTGGGTTTGAGTAGTAGGTCCAAAATAAGATTGCACAGAGATCGGGGTTGCATTTTGTATAAAGAAGAGATTTCCTCCTCAGGCCTAGCAGTAAAGAAGAATTTAACATTTTTTCCCAGCATGATACTTGAAAAAAATGGGGCTGTGTTGTGACTAGCTACAGCAGAGAGGCCCACACTCTATTCTCCAAGAGCCTTTTCCATATTACGAGTAATTCCCCCTTGGTGCTTTCCTCGCGTTCCCTCAGTGCGACTGAGCGTGGGGTTTGGCGCAGGTTTGTTACATGCCTGTTTTAACAGAGTGAGGAATTTTTCCCTTTATGCAGTAGGTAGGCCCATAAATGGAGGCCATTTTAGCTGACTCCTATACAACCAGCTGAACTTGCCTTGTGTTTCGTACGGTCTCTGCACCTGTGCAAAATGGCTGAAAGAAAAATGTCAGCATCTTATATGCAGTTTACATGATTGTATACAACTAAAGCAAAGAACAAATAGATCCACAATAATTGTGTAAACAAAGAGCTTGTGCTGACAGAATTAACTTGAAGACACTGAGGGGAATTACTTAACAGCTAAGAGACGAACCTGAACTCAGATGGACTGGCTGGAGACCTCCAGGGAATATCCATCGAGGACCACTACAACCGTCTGCTGGAGTTCTTGTACCTAATGGCTCTGAACACTTTCATTTGACGCAGAGATTGAGCTCCTGGTCAGCACTGTATAAAAACACACAAAAAGTAATATAAAGGAGTTAATTTTAAGTCCCATTACTGTAAATGAAGGCATGCGTGAAAGTTTAAGCATGTCAGAAACCTGACCCATATTTGCAGGACCAGGATCTTACTTGTTCTTTCCCATTTTCCAAACGTCTGTTTTTATTGAAGAGCACAGCAGCTGAGCTGAGAGCAGGTAGGCTGGGGGCTTCCTGTCCTCCTCTCCCTTTCTGCAGACAGATTTTGCTCATCTAGAAACTCATGTTGCTCTATTGCTAAATGTTGCTGATGTTGCTAAAATTCCTGCCTTTTCTAACTCAAAAGCTCTGGAAGCCTGCTGCACTGGACAGATATATTCAGTTAGAGGATGATCTTCAAAAGAGAATGAAAGAGCTGTTTTGGGGAAAGAAAAAGCCGGCTGTCTGCACAAAGACAATCTCCACCGTGTGGTCCTGTGACAGGTGGGAGCTAACTCCATTTTGCCAGGTTAATTCCAAAAGCTGTGTTTATGTTTCCCCCATTTCTGGAGCTTAGGATCTAACGCAAGCCCTCTCTGCAGGGAAAAGTTGTGCTTAAATACTGTCTAACCTATTTTCCAGGATTTTCTCTACTGTGCTTCAGCGTGGCTTTGTTTTGTTTTTTCTTCTCTGTTATGAATTGCCTCTGACAGTCGGGAAATATAATGTCTCATGCTTTCAAGGAGAAATGCCTTGCTACCCTTTCTCCAGCTAGCAGCCAACACTGAGGGGAAGGCGCTTTTCCCTCTCTCCTGTCAGGAGAGGGATCTGCCACCCCTTGTTCAGCACAGGGCCAGAGACCTGCACGCTCAGAGACTAACCTGAGGTATGAGGCAGACAAATAATTAAATCTCACTATCTTTATCCTCAAAACAAACATAAAACATATTCTGTGAGGATAATTGACTTTTAAGGCTTGCTAAAAAAAGACCTTTCCAAAAGCTTTAAACGCCTGTTCAGTGAACTCCATTTTGATGCCTTTTTGCAACTCTCCTTCCCTAGGGGTGCCTGTCTCCGTGTATCCTGAGCTATGCCCAAGACATCTCCCTCTGGTTCTCTTTGTTTTGTTATCTGCGTTCATCTGTACCACCTGTAAAATGAAAGTGCAATAACTAGTAATTCACCTAACCAATTTTAACAAATACTTCAGCTTTTATGGTTTCATTTATTTTAAAAAAAAAAAAAAAACAGTTTACCTAGGAAACCTTCAAACTCATATCATACCAGCTGACAGGAGCAACCAGGCTGTGTTCAAACCTGGCAGTGAAAAGGGGACTATTTTAATTATAATGAAAGCCTGCTTGGCCAGAAGTTTGCCAAGCTTTGCTGGGTCTTGCAGCATCTGTTTGGAACGGCTGCAAGTGTTGTGTGGTGGGCAGTATCGCAACCTGGCAAATAACAGGAAACATTAAAAAAAAAAGCTAGGGAAGACTGAGGTAGTCCCTGTGATCATGAATCCTTCTCCAGCAAAGAAAGTGTTAGCTACCACTCTGACTAGTTACGGAAACAGTTTTATCGGCAACCACAGCTCCAGTTCTCTGTTTTGCCATCCATTTAGTCATTTATATCTCTGCAAGGCAGTTTTAAGGTGCTAATGAAACGGCCCAGGCTCACACAAGCCTGGCTATAAGCTTGCCGTGGTTGGTCAGATGAGGAGTATGGTGTTTTGCTGGGGTAATACACAGATCATTTGCATTCTGTAAGTCATGATAACTAGATTAAATTCCCAAGGTCCATCCAGGTTCTTTGATGATACAGATAGTTTGAAACTTTTCATTTCTGTAGACTGACTCCTCTACAGTAAAATAAATCTTTGTCTCAATGTAATGTCAAATGGGCTTAGCTGCTGAGCTTGAAAAAGTTATGAGTATGGTCTTCCTATATACTGCATGCTTGTCTTCAAGCTGGAAGAAGTCAATAAGGAAGAAAAAGGCACCAACTACCACAGCCTAAGAAAACAACTTGGAAGGGGACAGTGGGTCATGAAAGCGGTGATTCAGACTGTCCTGTACAAGGCTGATGAGTAGGAAGGAAGAGCTGTCACTGAAAAAAATACCAAAGTTTGATACTTGACCGAATGAGGTTTTAAACAGAGACATCCCTCCATTTTCAGTGTTGTTGAATATTTGATGCTCCTGCAGGTAGAAGTTAAGGGAAAAATATTTTCAGTCAGACCCCTACACAGATGCCTGATCTTGTCAGTTGTCTCTTGTGCCGACCCAGAGGCTTGGTTTTAGGGAGATTCTGACAGAATCAAGGCCAGGGAGAGAGAAATATATGCAAGTTTCACACAACAAAGCAATCAACACTTCAGTCCTTCCTTGATTTTTTTCCTTTTGAGATCCAGTAGTAAACTGGAAAGGCACAAGCATTCAAAACTAAACATTGCCTACCTGCAGAATGGCTTGAGTGCAAGGAGAGGGCCAGCTGCAGTTCACAGGGGCCTTGCCACCTGCACAAAATCATGACCCAAATAAGCCTCACACAGTAATGCAGTGGCTCCAGGTATCTGATAGCAGAGGATGGGAGAGCACCAAATCCCCAAACGCAGAGCCACGTGGCGCGGGAACCATGAGTTTCAGCTACGTTGATCCAAGCTCTGGATCCCCAGATAAACTATGGACGTCCTTAATCTTACTGCTGCCTGAAGGAATCCTGGAGGATTTCCAAGTCCTACGGCCTCCTGAGAAATTTGTTTGCATTTTCTCCTGTATGCAAATTAGCAAGGCAGTGATCCAGCAATACACAAGTGCTTGCGATTATGGCATTGCCCTTTGATTCCCCATCTTATGAGCATGCGGTGTCTTGAAAGATCAAACACCAGCCTGAGGACACATTAAGGATTTTTGTTCTCAGAGAAGTTGCCCCCCAGAAATGGGGGGAAAGGAAAATGCTACCTGCACATTGTGCCTGTAGAGCAGCAGGCAAACCCACACAACAGTACGATGCCATAGCCTCCCATTTTGTCTTTCTTCTTTCAGCTCTCTATCCCTGATAAGACAGTGGGGTCTCCTGTCAAAGATGAAAGCAATCACATCTCATCACTACTGGTTTATGTCCATCCGGTTTTAACACTTCAGTTCTTCTTGGTCAAAACTCCAGCCCTCCCCCTGCTCATCTTCTGGCCGGCAGCTCCACCACCTCTGAGCACCACGTCAGGACTCTCTTGTCCATGAAGGCTTTTGCCCCAAGGGCTGCTTTCACAGACTCTTCACAACCTTTCCGCCAGCAGTCACTGCACCTCCAGCATCCGTGGCTGCTGAAGGCAGCGCTGCCTGTGCCTGGGAGCAGTGCTATCAGTGCCTCGTCAGGACGCAGCAGGAAAAGTCTGGCCTCCGCTCCCCGACCATCTGCTAAAACCAGGCCTCCTCTGGCAGGACTCCAACACAAAGTAAACAGAGCTTCACAGCCAGATTTCAAACAACAAAATAACTGAGAAATATGGCTCACTGCTCCTGGTTTTCAAATTCAAAACATGAAAGTCCCTAGAAGCAAAAATCCTTTATGGATCCTAAGACCTTTTCGTTGCCAACTGGGTCCATTGCATCTAACACTAGGGAGAAAGTGCAGTGATGTAGCAATTTTAGTTAGCTACACCTAATTAGCTCAATTTACGCATTTGCTAATTTTTAAGATTACTTCTTTCTCAAGATCAGTGATGGAGAAAAATTAAATTGTCAAACTGGAGACTTCAGCGTGCACTATTTGTACAGAGAAAGAATAATTCTGAATCTTGCAACGGTATGATATTTTTCATGGTATAGGAGAGAGAGAAGGACTCAATGAAGCGTGAATGATTTTTTAAAAGAACAGATTGCCATGTCTTTTAAAATAGGTCAAGTTTTTGGCCTAGTTTCCTTTAGAGTGTCCTTTAAAGCGATGGGGTTTGAATATCTGTGATAATGCCATTGCTTTTTTGTTTTTAGCCACATCTATGTGTGGCTCTGGTTGTAAGGCAGAAATGTTCCAGTGTAAGACTACAATGCCGAAGACCACGTGTCTCAGGCAGTATTTCTGAACAAGTTACACGGAACAGTAAAATCTCAGCAGTGTCCACATTTCATCCTTATGTGTAATGTTATTCTGAAACAAGTAACTAAGAAAAAACAAACTATAAAAAAAGGTGATGGCCAGCGAAGCCAACACCTGCAGACCCAAATGCTGTCAAACTTGACCTATTAACTCTCCAAATTTCAGGAGGGCTACCACTATTGTTTGCTTTCCATCTTTAAATTGATTAAATCAATTAATTAACTTGATTTAAGTAGAAAGTAGAATTACGATAATGACATTCAGATTGAAGATACACAAGATAGTACTTATAAGAACAAACCAAGGCCACCTATGTTGAATGGAGATAAAATACAATGGTCAGCTGTCAAAGCAAAAAGAATCTGTATGTGTACATTTAGATTCTAAAAAAGGATGTTCAAGATATTTAAGGAGGGAGGAAATTCTGCATGCAATATTAATTAATATAGAATAAATACCATCTGTCTTCTATGTACGGAGCAGTCTGGTACATATATTTATGGATGCATCTTTGCTCTATCAACATAACTTAGGTATAATACACATGTATTTATGATGTTACATAGACTTAATTATTCAACATAATACACATACCAGTAATTGCGGTTGGCCCTAGTGCAGCTATATGGAGTGAAGCAGGACATGAGGAGGATTTCCTCTGTCCCAGAGCCGTGGAAAAAGGCCAGGTACAAATCAAGAGCGGGAACATGCTGGAAGTGAAGGCTCCTACTCTCCCCTGAGGCTGAGGTGGGAGCTCAGCACATCCTTATTAAGGTGCAGGTTCTTCTCCCCACTAAGCTGATCCATAAGGGATAGTGCCCTTCAGGCACAAGCCATTTAAAACGTACCTTGTTGTGGTAAAACTGTGGATTGACCTAATGCGCAGCCAGTAATAAACATTAGTTGGCTCACAGTGTTGTACAGTAATAAACATACTGAAGAGCTTGTCAGTGCATGCTTCGGGAAAGAAGTACAATCTGGAACAACAGGGTCTACACATACACTTGGAATACAAATCTTTTGCAGGCTGTGGACTTCATTAGGAAAACTGTTCGTGATTCCAGTTAAGCTGTGAGTAAAGGCAATGCAAAGGCTTGTCTGGTATTCATCCCGCTATAATGTGGAAAGATAAATCAGCCTTTAATAATGGAGACAGTTTTAAGAATACCTTTGTTTTAATGATTAACATTATTTTGCACTGAGATTTGTAGTTGTAACCACCGTCATGGACTGAAACGTTTGTTTTGTGCCTGATCCTATTCTGCATCCTTTGCTGAAGAAACAGTGTGAGCTGTTACACACGTGGCTTTGTGCGCACAGTTTGTGACATAAAAAGGCTCAAGAAGGGGAAAGAGGATCTTGCTTTTTGCAGAATATCACAAAGTACAGGAAAAGTCATCTAGAGAGCTCCCAAGGATACTGATTTGTGAACAACTCTTTTTCACATATTACTCCCACTACTTCCTGCGAGACAAGAATATTATGCACACAGATCCGGTTTGAGTTTTCACACTGGCAGTTCCTCCCAATGCTGCTCATATATCAAAATCGCTTTCACTTCATAATAGATCATAAACTCTTCCAATAATAATTCTAAGAATATTATCTTTGTCTGCTACACTCTAAATAATTGATGCCAGGCAGATTTGTGCTGCATTTGATAAGTAGCAGGAAAATATTAGTATCTCTGCAGTGATCCCACTTCCAATAGCTGGCAAAGACCTATCCTGCAAAGAATCCCACTGAAAGGTCTTCCTCAGCATGGATATGTGATTGCAGAATTACTCCGTAAGGACTGGTGGACTAAATCTCATTCATTTCTAACCTGAATCAAGTTGGGAAAAAAAGTCATGTTATCTATTTGCATTGAACAGGTTTATAAGCTTCACAGGGAGTTTTCCTCACCAGCATAGAGCTCAGTGGAGCATGGACATTATTTTTTCTTATTAGGGTGAAATGTAAGAAATGAAAGGCTGTTTATTTATGATACTATACATAGGTCCAGATTCTTAATGCCTTCATCTACCTTTGTAAGGAAGTTCGCACTGTGTGGTCCTGAAGTCAGCGGCACATCCAGATTTCAGGTGCAAAACAGAAGCTCTGAGTGGATAGCTGTTATACAGAACATACAGGATAATTACATTGCATGCTAAAGTAAGGCAACTGGCTCAGCTGCCTGAAGGATGGGATTTTATTCTGTTGGGCTGAAGCAATCTTCTGTGGGGTTGGAGCTGTCCTGGTTTCGGCTGGGATAGAGTTAATCTTCTTTCTAGTAGCTGGTATAGTGCTGTGTTTTGGATTTAGTATGAGAATAATGTTGATAACACACTGATGTTTTAGTTGTTGTTAAGCAGTGCTTATACTAAGTCAAGGACTTTTCAGCTTCCCATGATCTGCCAGGTGCACAAGAAGCCGGGAGGGGGCACAGCCAGGACAGCTGACCCAAACTGGCCAAAGGGATATTCCATACCATATGATGTTATGCTCAGTATATAAACTGGGGGGAGTTGGCCAGGGGGTGGTGATCACTGCTCGGGGACAGGCTGGGCATCGGTCAGCGGGTGGTGAGCAATTGCATTGTACACCACTTGTTTTGTATATTCTTTTATTATTATTATTATTATTATTATTATTATTATTATTTTCTCTTCCTTTGCTGTCCTATTAAACTGTCTTTATCTCAACACATGGGTTTTACTTTTTTTTTTCCCCGATTCTCTCCCCCATCCCACCGGGGGGAGGGTGAGTGAGTGGCTGTGTGGTACTTAGTTGCAGACTGGGGTTAAACCATGACAGGAGCCAAGAACATTGAAAAGAAAATGTTGTTCATAATCCATCTGGCTGAAATCTTATACTTATCCTATCTAGGCACTGGATCTAGCTCAGAGCCAAAATTAGGCTATCAGGAAAGGTACCACTGAGATGGGGATGAAGCCAGAGAGCTGTTGAGGGAACCCAGTCCATGGGCAGATAACAACATGAGAACAGGGGTGGGAGGGAAAGGCTGGGTAGCGGTTCCCATGTCAGATGAGTGTGGCAGTGAATGAGTCAGCAGTGGTGGTTATAGTCTTCTCGGTACCCACAGGGATCTTTGCGGTCTTAACCAACGTGTTTGGGTTGGATGCTCAGCCTAGCAAAAACCCCAATAGCAAATAAGTTTAGATAGGAGAAGAATGGCATCCTTTATCAAGATGCTTTATCAATGTCTTAATTAGTTGAACAGTTAAAATATCACTATTCTTACAAATCAATACCGCATACAGCCAAAAAAGAGCCGTTCCCATACTATCAGGCTTCTAACAATTCTCTAACAATTAAAAAGAAAAACAAAGGTATAAACTTCAGTACGAGAGAGCACTTCATGTTCTCTGTTATTTTTAAGTGAACCTAAGAGATGATTGATGTATTTAAATAGCTTTTTAATAAATATTATATGTGAAATTATGGAAATTTAGATAAAAGCTTCCATTTTATAACTGATATCATCTGGGGATAGGAGAAAAGCATGGGGGTTATAATTGATAAAATCCTGGACTTCACTGTTTGGGGTGGTGCTCAGAGTTTTTCAGCAGTTTTAATCTTAACAACCTCTAGCAGGGCAGCTCAGTTTACAAACCAGTGCACTTTGCAGCTGGATGTTTCATACCACCATGAAAAGAGTAAAATAAATAAATCAGTAGGTCACCTTCCTAACTTGATTTTCCTGAGGCAGATCATTTTCTTTCCTTCACGAAGCAAGGAACAGATCTCTTTCAACATCAGGAAGAAAGGAAGTAGGGGCAGCTTTCCCTCTGCTCTTCATTTCGCTTTAACCCCTAGAATGAGTTGATCACATTTTGTTCATTAACATTTCCCATGTTGGGGGGGTGGGGCATTTGTTTGTTTGTTTGCTTGTGTCTTTTCCTAATTTCTCCTCTTTCAATTTTTAAAAAGTCCTCTCCCCAAATTCTAGCAGATCCCAAGCTCAAAAATCCAACTGTCTAACCCCAGCTTAAGAATATTGCTATTTACACAATGCTGTAAAGGCCAATTAGCCAAGTGTGACATCAACCCAGGAGTAAGCCTTTTCTCAGATACAGGCTGTGTTCTGTCCACATTCAGGAGGTAGGAGAAGTAATGTTTAGTTCTTTTATTAACATAGCAGGCACCCAACTTAGAGCTGTGCCTATTTAGGCTTCTAAAAAGAGTTTGCACTGAACATGCCTCTGGCTTCCTGGCAGGGCTACTCCCATACCAGTAACTTGATATACTCGCTTATGGTCACCATAACACCAGCCAAGCACATGGAAATAAGAGCATCTTTAGAAAATACCTCAATGGGTTAAAAAAACAGCAGGGCACAGCTACCAAAGCCATGTCTGAGATTCTTCCCTCTGCAACACACAGAGGGGGCTCAGTACCTTCTGGCTGTTTGCTACTCGAAGAGGAAAAGGATGATGGTGCAGATGGCAACTTCTTGCACAGAAAATGTGTTTTCAGAATTGCAGCAATTGACTAGTTTAAGTTGCTTTATTCCTCCAGCACCGAGGTAGGGGAGGAGGCAGAAAGGTATCAGCTCTGCTAATGGCATGCAGAATGATTAACTAAATGCTACAGGCCCAGATTCTGCCCTCTTTGTACTGGTGCAGCTTATAGCAGATGATGCAGTTGCACAACCATGTTAGAGGACAAACACTGTCATGGCAGAGATACAGAGCTTTATTACTAGT